ATTATCGTTCAGTTCCGCTGCCCCCATTCGGGACCTACTTTTAGTTTATATGAATCTATAGATTTTGATACGCTGAGTACGAATTCACTTGTTGTCACTCGCAGAGACCCGCAGTTTTTTTTGTATTTTACGATCAAACATCAACATTTTATATTAAAATTTCCGCCATTTTGTTCAGGAAACTTCATGTTATATACAGTTATTGTACTAGTCCAAGTCTCTTAGCAGGGGGGTTGCACGCGGTATTACGCAGTTTGTTATCATTCTTCTAAGAAAAATGTACAGAAATAAAATAAAAATATAGATATTTTTTCACAATATAAATGCAAAAGGTACTGCTACATGTTTGTAAATACTTAGGAATTAATCTATTATTCTTTATTGCATCAACTTTTTGTTTTTTGGCTCATCATGATGTGAAATTGCAAAGACTGTCACTATATCCAGAAAGACTCTCACTTGTCACTGGTAAAGTTGTTTATTTTATTTATTACTGAAATTATGTACATAATTTTGGCCTTGCAATGTGAATAGGCAATTTTTCTTTGAAATTTTTGTCAACAATGAATAAGGAGCACAATATTCTAGACCTATTTGTAGACCATTGCCCATTATTAATTTATAGTAGCAGTTGACCTCAATAAAATTAACTCATCTATTTAATAAATCTGCACATAATTAGTTTTATTTTCTTGTATTATGATAACATTTTTGCTATTATGGGACGTTGAGCTTTATAAATAAAAAACTTTTGGAAGATGGCTTTCACTCTACGACAGACAGCCTACTTTTGGTCTGTTTATATGGGGTTAACCCAACCTAGATTAGCTATATTTCTTTAATTACTTTATTGTTATTTAAGTATTTACATTAGAAAATGGTGGCCGCACAGGACATAGCCCCAATTATTACAGCTACCATATAACAACCTAGCTTGGTTATTCAATTTATGTGAGACTGTTGAGTCAAACATAGGCTTGCTGGAATTAACAAAGCAGCTAAGCAAAAAACTATACTTGTATTCACACAAGCAAATCTCAAAGTCATGTCATCTAGAAACATTAATTGATTGAGCCATTTGAGGTTTAAATGTGTAAAAAAATATTAAATACAACATATTGTCATGATCCATCATCACCTTAAGCTCTAATCCTATTTGAGCTGCCATTAATTACCAACTGAACTAGATTCAGGGATATTTTATATTTGACAAGGCAGACAATAGAAATTTGAACTAATCTGGCATCACTACCTACCAATATACCTTAGTTATATAAACCTGTTTTCCTCTTGGGCTGGCCTGCCTGGCCAAAACTCTTTTCTAAGCCTTAAATCTTGGATAACAGCTGGGGATTAAATAATTAATACATAATTCACATCAATCTATTAATATAAATAACATTTCTTTATTTCCTTAGGGGCTGTTTATATGGAGGAGAGCCAGCCCTGATACCCAGTGAGCTAGCTTGTTTGCCGAGATCTAACATCGCTATGTAATTTATACTAACATTTATCTTGTGTTTAAATGGGAACCGAGTTGGCCTGCCTAGGTGAGATCTTGAAAAATAAAAATATATTTACTTATATTATACTATTTATAGCGGTAAGACCAATCATTTGTTTTGGCAAGACAGCCCACCTCAAAAGTCTCATTTAAACATTGGATAAAATCAGCTCAGCAAAGAGAGCTAGCTCGGGTACCTGTATGGCCTGGCTCACCTCCATATAAACACCCCATTAGAAGATTTCAAAGTTAAAATTTCTTTTGAAATCTCTCTGAGGGATAAAACCTTCAAAACTTTATTGTTGACAAAAATTTCATGTAGACAGTGTCCAGGAAAATTTCCTTTTCATAGTGTAAGGCCAAAATTATGTACATAAGTAATAAATAAAATGAACAACTTTACCAATGGCAAGTGAGAGTCTTTATGGATATAGTGGCAGTCTTTGCAATTTCACATCCTGATGAGCCAAAAAACCCAAAAGTTGATGCAATAAAGGATAATAGATTAATTCCTAATTATTTACAAACATGTAGCAGTACCTTTTGCATTTATATTGTGGAAAAATATCTATATTTTTATTTTATTTCTGTATATTTTTCTCAGAAGAATGATAACAAACTGCGTAATACCGCGTGCAACCCCCCTGCAAGAGACTTGGACTAGTACAATAACTGTATATAACATGAAGTTTCCTGAACAAACAAAAAACAAAAACTGCGGGTCTTTGCGAGTGACAACAAGTAAATTCGTACTCAGCGTATCAAAATCTATAGATTCATGTAAACTAAAAGTAGGTCCCGAATGGGGGCAACGAAATTTGTTTTCTAAGCGACTTTTGGGGTCACAGAATACGGCCTATATCAGCAAACGCAAACGATAAGAAAGACATTGTCTTGTCTATTAATTGTTGTGAACACAATCACAATAGTCTATAAAGCTTCTCAAGAATGTGAACGACTGATTATAAAATTAATTATAAGCGTTAAGTTGATTAAATTTAACACGCTGGCTTAGTTACTCAAAGCGTAATGGAGTAATATTGCTATCAGGCTGTCATTTAATATTCATAGTCCGATAGAAAATCGTGAACCGTATAAACAAAAACATAAAAAATTGTTTTTAGCACAAGCATGCATGCAGTTATGACTAAGCGAGATGAATTGCATTAACCTGGCAACAATTCAGATAATTTGTTACCTTAACTTATTTTGCACTGTAAAAACTGATTGGTTAAAATGACCAATTTTTTAGGTTGCAACCATTGGCAATTGGTCATTTTGACCAATTGTTTAATTAGTTAGTCGCATTTGACCAATTAAATTTGGTTCCTTTGACTATTACAAATTGAAGTTTGTTCGTTCACTGCAACCAGGTATATCAATCATGTTTCGCTCGCTACTCTGGTTTAAATAAATGATTACAAAGCCCAGTCGAATTGTAATCAGGACCCAACGTTTCGACACTCCAGTCTAGTGTCTTCATCAGGGGTGATCTAAAACTGCGATCGTGGCTTCTTAAATATCCAAGGGATGACGTCACCTGCCAAGAAGATGCATATATTCCTCTGTGACGCATTGTCATTGGCCAATACCCCATCACGTGTTCGGCCGTTTCACTCCCCTCTTTATTTTTTATTATTTCTCCGCCTTATTTTAAATTTCGGATCTTTCTCGGTCGCCCTTCGGAGTATCATCGTGTAGCATAAATTAATGTCAAAGATGAACATAAATTATTGCGCCTGCGATAAGCTAATACCGCTTTCAACATTCAAAATGGCGGCCGATGAAAATTGAAAACATTTACATGTAATTAAAAGGTTAGTATAAATTTACACAAATATTTCTGGCGTGCTCCCTTGCATACTCATTATACAGAGGTACAGTACGTGCAGGCAGAAGCGAGACAGTGTTAATGTTTTCAAGTATATATAAACATTTCAGACATGAATATTGAGAAAATCTTTGAGATTCTACGCAATAATAGTAATACAATATATAAATTGATGTTATGCATTACCGTCGATATTATTTAGACCGTGTATTCATTACACATTCTCATTGACTGTATATAAAGGTGCTACATCACAGAATAGATGGCTATACTCAGTACAAAGAGCGAAAAATTGCATCAGATTTGTATCAGATCAATAAAGCATAAACAACTATTAATAAACAGAAGCGGGTAAAACGTTTGTACGGCGTTTACGAAGAAAAAAACTTACGAGACTAAAGGAATCAGTTGAGTCAGAGCTCCTTGTATAAATATTAGAAAGACGAGGAGATAGCCAACGTGTTTAGGTGTTATCGCCAACGTGTTATCGCCAATGGCTTAATTGGCTCGCCAACAAGCTTTATGCAAAAGAAGAAAAAAGCAAGGAGGTACATGTAGCCAACGTGTACATTCACGGACCGTGCCTTTGTTTACTGTCTAACTAGTGTCTAGCACAACGCCGTTGTCAACGGTGCAAACTTGTATTCAGTGCAACGATAACTCTACCAGATCTTACGAGAATCAATCTGTAGTATTCTGTACACAGAACTGAATCAAAGCTTGTCAAAAATGTTTCAAACACTGCTATAACTATGTGAAACTATTGAAATCTAAAGTGATATTTATATTCAACACATGCGAAAAGCTGAAAATAGACACACGTCACACTTCACACTGGGAAAAGTCAAAGGTCAATAAAACTTGTTATTGTGAACAGTGTTTCCACAACACATCATTGAAATTTCCTTGATTTTGCTTTAAAATTTCCTTGAATTTCCTTGAAATAGGATGTAATTTCCTTGAAATTTCCTTGATTAACCGAAGTATATTTCGGCAACTAGAATTATTAATACTTATATAAAGTAAGACAGAAACAGAATGGTACATTTCTTTCGTACAACTCTTAAAAACAAAGCCTTTACACAACAATTTTGAAAGCTTTAAAATGTAAAATACCAGAGTTTAATATTGTTCTCAACTTTAACTGAGTCAACAAATTCACATGACAAATAAATTCATATAAATTCGCATGACAGCTACCCTGGATTCCAGAGCCTTCGACAGTAAGTAATAAATTGAAACGTCACGAAGGCTCTGGTTCAACTGGAAGATTCTTTGATTAAACCGCGCCAATCACAAAGCAGAATTAGTGTTTTTTAGTACATATTTTGTACTAAAACCACTAATGCTTTTTTGTGATTGGCGCGGTTTAATCAAAGACTCTTCACGTTGAACCAGAGTCTTCGCGACATTTCAATTTATTATTTACTGTCGAAGGCTCTGGAATCCAGGGTACATGGCAGCCAACCAGTGCAGCTAACACGTGGTGGCCTGCACGCAGCACGCTACCTGCCTAAAATTCAGGTTGTGTGCAGCCTACTTACGTAGTTTCATTAATAATTTTAGATTCCACTGACTCGGTCACAGGCTCCGAAAGAGGTTTTTTATTTTTGCACGCGGACATATTGGTTATGAGCAAAGGAAAGTAATATAATTTAAAACTAGAAAATACATGCATGCAGAAACCCTCGCCTTGCTGACAAAACCGTAGCCCGCGTGCAGGCCCAAGGGAACTGATAGTGGGCCTGCAAGCAAGGCCCGGTATTTTGTAAAACGCCCCTTTTCATAACACGCCCCATTCGCGCGTCAATTGTCAAAAAAGAACCAATGACAGCACCCAAATATTAACAAACAAACTCGCATTAAAATGTTGCGGGGTTTTCTCTGCTTATTGAGAACATAAGCAACGTGTAAATGGCAGCGTTTTAACTCCAAAAAAGCAAGCAACGCAGTCAGTAATTGCCAAATTTCCAAGTGCTCATTTTCAACTAAAATCGGAACAGGCAAATTAGGACGAATTTCAACAGAAAACCAGTCTCAAACTTCAAATCGTGAGGGAAGTCGTGCGACCACATTAGCATTTATAATGTGTGCTTCGCTGTTGCCATTGTTATAAATAAATTGTCTCACTTATCAGATCATGTGTGCAATTCTTGTTGGCGGCGGAAAGTACGAATTTTATTTCAGTTATTTCATGTGGTAAAGAACTCTACAAAAGAATAGAGCATTCAGAGTCCAGATCGTTTCGTTTCAAACGGCAATTTAATACCGTCTTCTGTTTCGCTCTCTCAGCGAAGCCTTGTAAATCGCAAAGTGTTTCAAATAGGCTTAAGGAGGCTCCCTACAGTTGCGTGCGGGATCTTCGCGGGACCAGTACGTGAACTATCCCACGCAACCGCATGATCAAAACAAAACAAAATTTTTTTTTTAAAAAAAAGCTATTTCTGAAAGGTTTCTAATGGGAAAAAGCGTTGAATAATACTTCGTTTTGTGTGCCAAATTACTATACAGCAATTCTACATATGATACGAATACCACTAGACCAAAAAATAGCTACGAAACAATGTGTTTTAATGTTTTTAAATATACATTGTCAACTGTAAAACATTTGCAAAATTGCATACAAACGTTTAAAAAGTTGTTTATTTCTCAAGAAAACGTTCACGTTTTTAGTCGTGTTTCTACAAGATTAAAGTGATTATATGTAAACAGAAAAATATTTCAGTTTCATAGCCTAATTGTTCATTTTTAGCAAAAAGTACAAAACCAAACATGAAACAAAAAAAACACGTCCACCTGTTAGCAGGCTGTTACAGCTCATAGATTGAGTAAACGGCCGGATTCAATTAGCTTCAACCTTGTTTTCATCGATTTAATCCTCCACAATAATCCTTGGCTGTCCATAGCCCTCAAATAAATCGAAAAGTTGACAAAAACAAAACAGTAAAAACAACATTGCGGCTCGATTTTGCTGAATGAAAACTCGTTCTGCGCCGGCGTACAATCTTTTACTAGTCAGCGACGCTTTTCAATAGGGGAATTTCTCGAGTTACACGAGGCTATTTTCTAACTTTATTTGCATTTTACTCGTTAGTTTCATCGGTGACCTATCTTCAAATTTTGACCACGAATTTATTTTGCGGTAAATTTTATAAATTTCAAATTTTAAAAAAATCTGTAGTGTGGAAATTTCGCAATAAAGTTTTCGCTTTTAAAAAAATCACACACTACAGAATTTTTTTAAACTTTCACCACAGTTGCAGAGCATCATTCCTTATTGATATATGAAATAAAAAAGATAGGTCACCGACATCGTTTTTGAGATAGCGGCACATTTATGGGTTAAATTGGAAGGCTTTATGCTGTCGTCATGTTGCCATGGGAACATTGACATCGTCGAAATCCAGTTCGAAATATTCCTTAGGTGACCAATATTGCCACCAAGTCGAAAGGAATTCGCGTTTTGCACGAATAAGCCTGTTTTACGGAATTATTGCTTAAACAAGAATAACTGTAGGGAGCCACCTTAAATGCAACTGCATCTCAACATCAACCAAAAGATAATTTTCTTGAGGAACATATAACGTATGAAGTCTGTTTGAAATTAATGAAACTCAAGTAAAGGTTACTATAGTTTACCCCAGTCGTAACGAGTGATGTTCCAACACCTCATGACAAGCAATCCCCATTGGCATAACGGCAAAAACATCTCTTCCTTCAAGTAAACAATAAACGGTCTGTTCGTGTTCCATTTATAATCGAAAAAAGTGATCAATTTTCGAATTTTAAGCTTATCGAGAGCCTTTGTGATGAATCACTTATCTAATTATAGAATCTAACAGCAAACAGCCAATCAGAATGCCGCGTTCGTGGGCGAACGCGGAAAGTACAAAATACCGGGCCTTGCTTGCAGGCCCACTATCAAGTTCCCTTGAGCCTGCTCCCTTGGGCCTGCACGCGGGCTAACAAAACCGTTGTATTTTCCGAACAGGAAGCATCTAAAGTAGTTCTCATGGTAACACGATAATTTTTTAAGAATATTCTTAGAAATGAAAATCGCCTAAAAATATCACTTTTAATTACAAAATTATCAATTTCCCAACATATATATGTTAGGTATGTAATTATACGTAATACAAGCTTCAATTTAATGTAAAATTCAACCACAAACAATTCACAAAACGCTTTATAGTGTTCTTTAAAACTAAACTGCCTTTAAATATTAAATGGCTTCATCGATAAACTTTCAGAGTTTGCAATAAAATGATTTCAAATTCTCGCTTGCAAAAGCAAAGTGCTTTATTTTTTATTTAAAAAATTCAATATAATAAAAAAGGGAATCAATATTAAAGATACACTGAAATTATATGCTGTCTTGTTTAGTTGTTTCATATACGCAAAGGCCGTCGGGTTTTAAAGCCATTATAAAATCAATATTTAAAGCAAACATACCTTCGTTCACGTCGGCTCCCATCTTTTAGCTGATTCTTTCGCCCTTTCTTTCTTGAAATTTGCAAAATCTTGCAGAAATACGAGCAAAAATGAAGAATATTTGCAAGAAATTTATCAATCATCAACTCATCAAATCAAGAAATGTTTGCTATTTCGCTGTCGTCATGCAGTCGTTATAATGCAAACTTTAAATTGGACCAATCAGTGTCCGTTATTCATGACAGTCCGCCATATTTTTGAGATCAGTGAGGATGACCACCCATCGTTGGTGACCGACGCCCGCGCTCATTGATGAACTTTAGACTTCGCTAATGCTTTCGTTTCCCCGGGTGTAAATAGCCGGGGGGGAATTAGTACCCTCGCACGGCGCTTCGCGCCGCCGGCTCGGGGATTAATGAAAGGTTCATCTTCAAAACATTTCAGTTCAATCAGTTGATTCAAAAATTCCTTAAATTTCCTTAGAATTTTCAAAAATTCCTTACATTTCCTTGATTCCTTTTTTTTCCTTGAAACGCCTTTTTTCGGTCAAAATTTCCTTGAAAAAGGAAATTTCCTTGAAAGTGGAATCACTGATTGTGAAACATGTCACAATTAAGTTAAAATGCGGAAGCGGATGGAGCGGTCCACGGAACGGATATGCGGATAAAATACGGAACGGGTGAGGATAAAATGCGTCTTTTAATGATGTAACGACGTAGTGCTTATTATTCATAACATATCTTATACAGCTATTTCAATTATAGTTTATTAGATAAATTTAGCATAGCAGTAGCCTCGTGGGGATGCTTTTAGCGACAGCTGCAAATGCAAATGAAAATTTAGAATATGCAAAATTTGGTTGTTGGTGACACAATAAATAGATGAATTGCATCAGTTTCACAAGGCACGTTTCTGATGTGTTAGGCTTGTTTCAAACGTCACGCTACTCGTGTGCCGAGCGTATGAAAAGCAATAAATAATGAGATGAAATGCCTTTGGTAAATGTTTATTTTGTAGTGTAAGCCATCAAGCTTTTCCAGGTTGTCGGCGACCCTATATAGTTCTTGCAGTGTCTTTTTAAATTTGAAACTTCACACTATCCTTGGATCCCTAGTTCGTAAATGTTGCCAAGTCAGATTGCTTTTAATATTACCAGTATCGGCTTCTTATTGTTCAATCGCGCGCGACGATCGAGTTTTTCTCGTCAAATTAATTTACTGTCATTGCTCTCAGTATATCAGTTGTTTATTTTTGATTTGCTGCGTAAATCTGTAATTTGAAATTGTGGAATGTCCTGCTGGTGAATCTTCTGAATATAATTTGCGCCAAGTGGAAGTTCCAAAGTTTCAACTAATTACCATGCTTAGAATATATCACGTGTTGTAGTAATTCAATCTTTTCACACCAGCGCGCTAAGATCGACCTTTTGGGAGCAAACATTCAAACAGGAAAGATTTATATTCAAATTTTCTGCTTATAAAGATCGAAAGACTTGATAGAAGTAGAACACAAGGAGATTGTTTTCAAAGGTATGTCTCTTGTGTATTTACTTATTTGTATACCAATAAAATTAACTATTTTATTAATTGGTCAAAACAACCAAAAATATTTCGTTATATTAACCAATTATTATTGGTTGAAATGACCAATTAATTAATGGTTAATTTTATTGGTTAAAACGACCATTTTTAATTGATTCTCTCAGATGCATCCAGGTGACCAATTTTTTTTGGTCATTTCGACCAATCAGTTTTTACAGTCATGTAATTAATGGCAGGCCCGGCAAGGCAAAATTTGAGATTTATTTCTCGTGTTGAACATGATATCTCACAAGTGACCGTACTTTGAAAAGCGATAACTTTTACAAGGGCTTATAGTCGGAGGTTTACGGTATCTACTTGCCTACTTTGATTGTATGTGATCGTCTTTTATTTCTGGGTGACTTTACACTCTGTGCCTGCGACTGTCAACATAGGTGATAGTAGTGATGACAGTCGCAGGCACAGAGTGTAAAGTCGCCCAGAAATAAAAGACGAACGATCACATACAATCAAAGTATAGGCAAGTAAATATGATTTTAAAATATAAAATTCATTACAAATTTTACTGTGTAGTATATTCTATAATTATATATTTTTATATACTGATACACGTCTGGGCCCCCTTGGCCTGACAGTGAACTGTATTGGTATTCTCTGCCTGCATGGCAGTGACCTGTATTTCTTCATATTGACACAGGCCAGTATATTTCTTGCATTCAAAGGGGAAGGAAAATACCTAAATGATCCATTCTACATAATATACTTTTATACTTGAAAAATGTTTACATACCTTCAGAGGGTGCTTCGGGCGTCCTTTTCGTTTGGGTTGACTGCCATCTTTTTAGAAGCATATCTTGGCATACTGTTCAATTTGAACAGTTGTCTCGTCGGTAAATATCACGTCTTCAAACGTGTCCTTGTTGAGCAAAGCATTGGAAGCGAATATAAATCTTTTCATCTTATTTGGTTCGCGGACAAATTGGCAATAACGAGCCGTTTCGCTTTTCCAACCAAGTACATTTCGTTTGACCCGACGAACAGTGGTTGCGGACACTTCGACATGGCATTCCTTCGACAATTTTTCTCTCAACTCTGCCGATGTAAGCTCGTCGTTTTCTTTCATTCTGTCGTTAATGAATTTGACATGATCATTGCTTAATTTTGTTTCTCTGCCACTTTTTTCGCATCTTGAATGCTGCCAGTTCGTCGATATCGAGACAGAAAAGAGCTCACTGGTGATCTCGAAGCTTTTATTCCTTCCGCTTGCAGTAATTTTGTTATCTTAGTTACGCTTTCTCCTAAGGAATACAGGTTAATAACTCTCTCTCGAGCATACGCGGACAATTTTGGCATTTTAAAACAAAAATTTGTCTCGAAATTTGTAAGCGACCGACAACTTCGAAAAATCAAAATAGACGCTTTATTCGAAAATTCGGAAACGATCGTTAATTTCTGATTACGGGACGAACAAATTGCGGTGTTGTCTCGGCAACGGTTGACCGCGGTTTTTGTTTCGGTTAAACGCGGTCAAACCTTTGTCAACCTCGGTTAAACCTCGGTCAGACCTCACTCAAACCGCGGTTAACGTCGGTCAAACCGATTACATTTAAAACTCTCAGACCGAGGTCAGACCTAGGTTGGACCTAGGTCTGACCTAGGTTTGACCTAGGTTAACCGCGGTTTTTGTTAGGTTATTTCTGGATAGTACTGTACACTGCAGAATGATCCGTCTTGTTGGGATCTTCAAGTTGATAATTTGTTATCTATATAGAGCTGGTATAGTCGAATGCACATTTTGAGAATACACGTATGTAGATTGTATAGCTACAATTCAATTCGACGCACTTATTATGTCTTTATTTTCCTATGGAATTGAAGTATGGGGTTCTGCACTTGAAAAGAAGTACCTGGAACGGATTGATTAATTTCTTGAGATGCAGATATGGATACACAACAAAAAGCGTTCAGATAATTGATGTGATTAAAGAAAGAGACATGAGTATATTCGAAAAAAATGTAGTAACCCAAACCACCCTTTATACGAACTACTTCCGCCTAAGAGACAAAGACCGCTAAGAGAACACGAACATGATTTCATTTTAACGAAGGTTAAAACAGAAAGATTCAAACGGTCGTTTTTAAATAGGTGTCTTTTTAATAATTTTAGCTAAATAATTAATAAATAGACATAAATTTTATTGGAACCTTGTATATATGAGAGTTTTAAATGTAAAGTCACACGTCTGCTATTTTGTGGCTATATTTAATAAAAACTTTTTGCTTCGTGCTGTATATTTATATGACATCATCCTGCTTGTTGATCGTGATTTGGTTTTTAACGTTAACTTTCAATGACAAATGAATGTTTTGGGAATTTCTATTAATATGCAAATATATTATTTATTGCAAATAATAAAAAAGATAGCAAAGTTAAATATTGGCTATTGTTCAAGTAAATTTAGAATAGAGTCACAGATATATACTGTAGTATGGCAAAATAGTAAACGAAAAATATAGCACATGCGGCAAAAGCCTCGAGCGAAATTTCCTTTGCATGTTAATAAACAAGCGAAACTCATATATTTCATATGATATACAGCATGACATAATATATTTTTCCTTGCCCATGAGAAGAATTATTTAAAGAAACAACAATACAAGTAAAAAGTAAAGATTGTGACCATCTGTCACCCCCAATTTAATGCGAAACACGTGAATTTATAGAGAAACACGCGCACTGCTTCATAGCTCGTATTCCAGCGTGTTCCTTGTGGGGTTCCCGGTTCCGGCTTTTACCGACACCCGTCAAAGTGCACCATACGCCTGATTTTGATGTCACAGATACGTACTGTAATTGATTCTGCTGCTCTAATTCTGATGTGTTTTAGATATCTATCTCTCATCGACATCCAAGACCTATAAGGTATCACCTGTTCTATTTGCATCTGTATCCAAAAAGCGTTTCCACCAGTATATATGTTATATATATGTTATGTTTATAATTAACAAATATAAAACATTTCCCGTGTTGATATGCAGTTATATCAACACGAGTGGAAATTGGGAAAAGAGAAATTGTGTGGAAACGACTTTTATCTTCTCGTGTTAAAAACATTATTTTACTCACGGCTCGCTGCGCTTGTTCGTAAAATATTGTTTTCACCACTCGAAGATAAAAGTCATATATCTTCGCGCCGCCGTGTGATATCCTCTATATACATACTGAAGAGTAGTGAAGTGTACGACACTGTCGGCACGACTTTCCCTACATGTACAGAGACAGCGTTTAATTCAAAATTTCGAAATGAATTGATTCCTGCCTCCGGAGCTGATTTTACAGAAGATTTGGAATGTTTCACGGCATAGTTGAAAGTTCATTAATTAAACGTTGGACTGAGCAATTTGCAATCAAAATGTTGGTAGTGTACAAAGAATTGTAAATTAAGCAATAATAAAACACGCTAGCATGTTCCTCAAATTTAAGCATTTGGCAACAACTTTAGTGATATCTGAATATGAAATCGTCTAAACCTGAAAACCAGGCTAAACAACGACGGTTGACGTCGACCAAAACCTATTGAAATCTAGTCCGTCGGAAATGTCTTTCCTACCCAAGTCTAGTCCGAAATCTAGTCCGTCGGAATTTAGAGTCTTTCCTACCCAAGATTTCAATGTTTTGGTGCTGCCTAACAATGAATAAGTAAAATAACTACTGACCAATATGACAGTGTTACTTACAGTTTAATGTGACTAGGAAAATAGAGAAAAGTTTGTCATCAGATCGTCAGAAGGGGTATTTGGCCATGTACCCCCCCCCCCCAAGCCACGACGCGTCTGAACGTCTTTAACGATTGTCAACTCTAATTCTGATTCAGAGCACAGAGCTCATTTCTATGCCCTGAGATTTACCTGAACGTCTGCTGGAAAATTACATGAAATTACTTATGAGCAATTATGCATGGGGTTTAATTAACCCTAAATATACGCATTTAGTACGTGTAATATTTGGGTCATTCTAAGACTAAGAAAAAATGTAATATATTTTTAATTTAAATTTAAAAGCTTATTTTAATCAACATTTTTACATCGAAGTTTTGGGATATGATGGCATTAGACACATTTCAGGAACAGACTGAAAGCAAAATTAATTTCCATTTCACCTAACGATATTCTGATATCTGAAAATTTTAAAACCAAAAATGTTGATCAACATGGGGTATTTGCTGTAAGGTATATTAGATTTCTTAAAGTGACCTAAATGTTAAACAAAAGCTGATACTTGGGCTTACGCCCGTATTCTAAAAGCTCACTCACACTCAATGAGTGGAGGTTCAATCTGAGCTTCTATTGAGTATCAATGCTGTTTTTGAATAGCTGGAAGGTTAGTGTCGTACCTTACTGTGTGACTACTCACCCTCCAGTTATTCAAAAACAGCACTGACACTCGAGAGTATGGCGGGTGATGTGTGTCAAAATCCAATAACACATTTGGCAATGATAACTTAACATTTTGCTACAATAATAACACATTTGGCAACGATAAAGTAACCTTTTGCTACAATGTTGTGGCGGTTACAAGACATTTATTAACAATAACAAAACATTCAATTACAAAGTATTATTTTGCAACAACATACTAGTAAACGTATCGTTTTAATATTTGCCAACAATCGTACATTTGGCAAGTACAATCCCGTGATGCAATTGGGCACTACCTCCAAATGGCGCGAAAACGGTGCATAAATGGCGCGTAATTATTTTCGCGATATTGGATTACATGTGCTTTTTTAAGTAAACATGACGGAAAATGAGAGAGCTTCGGCGTCAGATGATATTCAGTCATCTCTACTACAGGCTAGATATATAATTGTACAGCTAGTGGATGGTGTGGCCAATTCACCACAAAATACATCTGCAAATACTGCAGCTGGTCTCTCAAAATTTCAAATTTTGGTGCCATTAACCATTCCCAATGTTTCCGGTCCGTAATTTTTATTATTCAAAATAGGACGTTGTATGACATCTACGAGAAGTCTGGCCTGATGTAGCAATTCGCTGTAAATTTCGGGATTTCGTGCTGTCAGATTTGCTAGGCATCGATAAAGGTCTTCAGAGAAATCGCGAATACGATCAATAACATCATCAGTCAATAACATTTCCAATCGCGTTATAAGAGCAGTTCGTACTCCGTTTTCTTCGATATCTTGATCGCCATTTTGTGTGAAAATAATTACGCGCCATTTATGCACCGTTTTCGCGCCATTTGGAGCTAGTGCCCCATTGCATCACGGGATTGTACTTGCCAAATGTACGATTGTTGGCAAATATTAAAACGATACGTTTTATATGTTGTTGCAAAATAATACTTTGTCATTGAATGTTTTGTTATTGTTAATAAATGTCTTGTAACCGCCACAAAATTGTAGCAAAAGGTTACTTTATCGTTGCCAAATGTGTTATTATTGTAGCAAAATGTTACGTTATCATTGTCAAATGTGTTATTGAATTTTGACACACATCACCCGCCATACGAGAAAAGCTCAGATTGAACTTCCACTCATTGAGTGTGAGTGTGAGTGAGCTTTTAGAATACGGACGTTAGTCTCGCTAATATAGATATGATAATTTTTTGCAATATTTTAAAGAACGGAAAACTGGTGCGTAGTATAGCGAATCAATCTATCATTCAAGTATTTGGGATAAGAAAGCAAGGATTAGACAACTTAATAATATATAATTGTAAAATATGCAATCTGGAATCCTGCCAAAATATTTAACAGTTATTCTACGAACTCGAGATGAATATGAGCTGATAGCTATGAGGCGCGTAGCGCCAAATCGGCTATCGTTCATATTCAAAGAAAGTGAGTGGAATAACTGTTTTATTATATACACAAGGTCTTAATTCACACATTTCGCTTTTCGGATATTTTCAATTTTTCTATTTTGTTTATGTTTTCATCTTCTCTCTTTCGGCCTATTATTTTTCCTAAATATATATTTTTAACCATTTTGAATTTTAAAAATTCTTTTGCCAACCTGTAAACAATTTGTGGGAGTATTGTGTTTTTAATCCTATAAAGGCAATAAAATGCGAAGAACTTGCCGTTTTCTCGTTCGCAAACGTCGGAAATTCAGTTGAGGGCCATTTTGTTTTTCTCTACTAGCGGGTTTTATATCAACAATCTATTGAAAAGTCAAACGTTTATGAGAGCTTTATCCTGAGTGTCACGCCTTTTGACGTACAGTACAGTGTACGATACGAGTAAAAAAAAATACCAGAAATTTTTTTATTAAAAATCAGCTATTATATTTCTATTTAGTTCTCGATTGCCGCACTAATCGTTTACCACGTTCCTTTGGGAATATTCAAACTTCAATGTATCAATAAAGTAAAGCTGCAGTTTGTTCAAATTCTAAAAATTAAAGACGGATAGTCTATGAACATTTTAGTGTGGGTATTGAATATTTTAATCAAGTGTGCGCATATTAACATGCTCGAGATATACATTATATGTAAAAATATATCGTTCAATATCTGTTTACACTGTCAAAATTTGCAGCTTGATGAATCAAATCAAATCAAAGCAGAATTTTATATATGAACCGATTTAGTATGAAAGATGTGCCTGTTGCTTTTATTGCCTGTTTCGTTTGGTTTACTGCTCATTCTTTTGTTAGCTTCACAACTTGATACTGAAGTTTCCTGTGTGAACGAAAACCGTCGGCCATCAGAATAGCCTTTATTACATAGTGGCCGGCTATATTCAATTAATATTATATTGCACTTTTTCAAATTGGGATAGAATACTTTTCTTTCTGGATTTTTTCAATTCATTTCACCATGCATACATGCACATATCGGTTCTACTTTGCGTACCTCAAAAAAGAGCAATAAGTGATATGGTTGGGGTAAATTTCGTTCTTTACAAAGCAAACACACATATTGCATGAACTGCAATACAAAGAAAGCGCCGTCGAAAGAATCTCACAATGTCTCAAAAGAACTTTGTGAGTACCATATTGAAGAGGTAGCTACTGAAGTGTAACATGTTGAAGTGTGGAACAGTTACCTTCCTTGCTTTCCCGGATTTTGACAAGCTAATAACTTTACGTAGCAAAAACAAACTGACTAGAGCGGCTCCCGTAGTGTCGTTGCATTTGGCTCGCAATCAATTTTGAGTCTGATTTTGTTTTCAGTCGTGACAAACTCTATGCGGGCGATACCAAATTTAACAGAAAATTCAGCACCAAAGTCAACACACCAGTATTTTACAATTGGATTAAATTAAATTAAATGAGAAACTGAACCGAATACTGGCAACTAAATTTTAACATTGCGCATAAAACATACAAAAGACTCTTCCTGCCCAGAATACTATCTGTCCAGTGTCCAATACGAAACTACAAGTGTTAGATACATTCAAAAACCTCGGTATGATCGTGGCACGAAAATAACCCAAGTGTATAACGCCATTAGTTGGCAAACAACTCGTATGCTAAGTTTGATCTCTTTTACCTTGTTGCACAAAGATCCAATAAAACCAGACCTATTCAGGAAGTCTCTGCACTCGTATGGTCACCATATTTAATTGAAGATATCAAAACTCTTGAAGAGCATCGCGTGTAGCGTGAAAACAAGATCGGTGAGAGTTGTATTATCCTGCTCGCAACCTCGTACTCAGGCTCTTACCTTCGCACGCTCCCCCGCTGCGAAAAGACCCTGGTTGGGGCTGGTCAGGTGACACCCTAAAATCTCGGGAGTTTTCAATTAGCGTTTTAAAAACACTCAGGGAGGAGTGGCAAGGTAATTATTGTCGATGTTGTCAAATGTAAAAACAAACAAAAGCATGCAATGCAAAGACATTTAGTGCATTTTATCGTTACCAAAAAGATATTGTAACCTCGGGCGCTAAATGAATGTGAAAGAAACTCCTAAAAGGTATACAAATCCTGTAGTGTGCCATCCAATACATGTCGATCGACCGCTTTGTCGAAGTGTTTGCGAAGCCAAGCATTTACAGTGAAGAACTTGTACAACAAAGCCAATTTCCAATTGCTTGTTAATATGTCCGAAACAATCTACCGTTGCAAACCTTGTGACGATGTACTTCCTCGCCTGATCTGCCGACCATGCCGAATAAAGGAGGTTAAACAACTTCAAGGCGAAAAATATTAAGACGGTGGTCTATAGTTTATACACTTCAATACAATATATACTACGCCGTACGGACACAAGTCACACGTCGCGGTAAAGTTAATGGTCGGACAACGCTCAGCCAAAATCCTAAGCTCACTCTCAAAACTCCATACTGCAAGTCAAGTACTTTCCAAGCATCCTACTTCAACCGCATTGTTAAAATATGGAACTACGCCTGTAAAATTGGGTCAGTGCCCCCCAGTGCCCCCCCCCCCCTACTCGGAAATAAAATCGAAATTATGCCCCCTTACGTTTTGCAGAACAAATAGCTGTAAATGTTTTTTTTTTTTTGGGCTAAGTACCGAAATTTGGTATGAAAAATTGAGATAAAGGACGTGGAAACCAATTGCAATCCTGGGACAAATTGTGTAAATTTTGTGTTTAAGTGATGTTTCCGAAAATTTTTGTTAAGTTTCGGAAAAAACTGGTTTGCCCGGAAAAAATTTTGGACCCCTAAAATGGTACACTGACCGAAATTTTTTTGGCGACGGGGGGGAGAGAGGTCGCGAAAATAAATTCCGGAAAAAAATTTTCCTCATCTCAAACCCTCTGTTTGATTCTTTCTGCAGTGCCCTCAGAAATTGAGAGCCAGCTACGGGCTTGTTAAGGACACGTACAAACATTGTTTAGGCGCAAAATTTGACATAGATATGTCATGCACGTGGACATTGATGCCTGATTGCTGTTGCCACAATTTCTAATTTAAATACTGTACTGTTTATTTCTTGTCAGTCTTTGAACATTGACATTGTAATGCAGAGTCTGTTATATGTTGTATTGTGACGGTGAGCACCTTGCATGGGACTTTGTGTCTCGTTCGTGCTTTAATTTGGCCCTTTGGGTCTTCTACAAATTGCATGTGCTTATGTTGTCATGTAGTTGAGGTTTTGATTGTCATTTGTTGTATTTGTTCTGGTGAGTGTTTGTCATATCGTGTTTAGACTTTTAATAGTAGATTTTGTGGAATACTTAATAAAATCAATAAAATAGATATAAACTCGTGATATAATTACTTTTGAAAATTATCAACCTTCAACAAAACAATACGCGTACCGGCAATTTCAAGAAAATCGGTTCAAAGCCTATCAACATTTGCAAACAACAATCAACAACAGAGCAAATATCATGATTATTAGATTACACTGATATCAAAGGAACTCGACTCAGTTCCTAAATATCACATATTCGAACCGACCTGACCGCGTAGCTCAGTTGGCAGAGCATTGGGCTAGTATTCCAAATGTCGTAGGTTTGATTCCCACCGTGACCAGGCATATTTTTCAAGCCTGCTTGGTGTGGATATACACTCAGTGAAACATCACAAGCATCTTATTCACCTGAGTACATCACACCAACAGGGCAAATAACTATGGGCGTACGGGAAGGAAAAAAATAGGGGGGGTGGAAAGAAATTTTCCCGACTTTTTCGGATTGTGCCCGCGTTGTCAAAAAAAAAATTTTAGGAGAAACTTTTCAAATTTGTGGTCGACGGAGGGGGGGGAGTAGTGATTACGAAAAATTCCTATTAGATAGCATATTCCCACAAAATTGACAGAATTTTCCACAAAAATGACAGAATTTGTCCCATTTATTTTTATAACAAGCCAATATTGCCCGGCTGTGAAGCGAATATTGCGCGAATGACTTTGTTTGCCCAACAAATTGGGGGGCGGGGGAAGGGCCCATGCAAATAACAATCAACAAATCTAATGGTGTATTTTTTAGAGGAATATTAGAAATATATAAACAGTATAAACAACTGTCAACTGACCATATACAACCTCGTTCCCAGGTTGTTTTTTTGAGAATTCGGCTATGAGACAAGGCCCTGGCACCGGCTGACCCTTTTCGTATTCTGATTGGTCAATGACAAGTATATTATTATGCAATCTTGGATTAATTTATGCACACTTTTGGTAAAATTAACATTTTCACGCAAGGAGTGCCATTATTGCATTATACCTTTATCTGTCTAAGCAATATTTTTTGCATAAGATTTATACACGATTTGTCGAAGGTTAGTATTATTGTTTCTTTAAACTGTGAAAGAACATGAATTGTGTGCAACAACACACCTCTGAACGAGTATTTAGGGAAAAATGTGGCTTCATTGCATGGCTTCGTATAGCGTTTATATTGTTGTGTACAAATAATTTCTTGTATTTAAGTCAGTAGTCTGTGTTTATAAATATGACCTTTGTTTTTGATATTCTTCATATTTAAAGTCGAGTTTATATTGGTGTAATTTCTAGTTACCATTAGAAATGCGACGATATTTTGTTATATGCAACACTGTTTACAACTTTTGAATAATGATATATGATATTATTTTATTTCAGAGACTAAAATTCATTCAGAAATTGTGCAGCGTGTGGCTTTATTTTTACCATAAATTGTGCTATAAAAGTTATTTGCTCATTTTGCTGATGTTACAGTTTTTGGATGTCTTTTGTTCTAATGGTATCAGAACAATTTCAATATGAAAGTGCATGTAGACGGACGGCCAAGTCATCAATTTGTACAACTGGATGGCAACTTTATGTTAGAAGCTGGTAACAGGCATTTTCTTATAGTTCAAGCCTTGGTGAACAAGACTATATGTGTTACCACTTCTGATTTTTGCTTTATAGCCAAAAATTTGAGAATTTTTAAATTTTGCCTATTAAATTACTATGATCGGAAAAAATGTAAAATTTCATGTTCTCGTATACGAAAAATAAACTATACCACTATATAGAGCGTAAAAAACTATATATAAGACAATTAAGTGAATTCTACGTTTTTCCAATCCTATTTCGAGTTTTTAATGTTAAAAAATGCAGAAATGACCAAATTAATGCTAATTAGTACCCATTTTGCCAACTTTAACCATCTTTAATTCAAAATCGGCTTGAAAATCGCACTAGTCGCTTGCTTAATTATCTTATATATAGTTTTTTGCGCTCTTTCTAGTGGTATAGTTTATTTTTTGTATAAGAGAACATGAAATTTTACATTTTTTGTCATCATAGTAATTTGATAGGCAAAATTTTAAAATTCTCAATTTTTTGGCTATAAAGCAAAAATCAGAAGTGGTAACACACACAGTCTTATTCACCAAGGCTTCAACTATAAGACAATGCCTGTTACCAGCTTCTAACATAAAGTCGCCATCAAACTCTCTTTAGAGGCACTTTTTGTCACCTTGGCCGGCCGACTAATGCAGGTGTCTTTAGACATCAGCTATAATGTATATATCAAAGTACAGATAAAATCCGTTTCCAACTTGATTGTGTTCGTGCAGACAAAGTTGTGGAATGATGGGTTTATGTCCATGTGCATGCATGCATGCATGTACTTTGATGCCTCAAGAGATGCTTCAAATGTGTAATAAAGGGCTGTTCACAGGAGTTGGGCTGGCTGGCCTTGAATGCTACTTCTGAATAACCTCTGCATGCATTGTTTTTATGACATTTTATTTAAAGATTGTGTTCACATGGCTGGACCAACCAGGTTACAATCAGGCTTAAAAATCAGGTTGCAATGCATGCTTGAAAATATGCCAAATTTCACTTTGCTGCTAATAATATTCCATGTCTGGACTGATTTGTTACAAGGGATGGAGGTTTTCCAGAGGTGTTGCATTACTACAGGGATCAGGCGCATTCTCCCCAAAACAGTCATTTCAATGGGTCATTTCAGAAAACATCCATACCACCCCCATGGAAGAAATTGGAAGTTAAACCCCCTACACCCTTCGCCTTCGGATGTCCTAATACATTTACTATAATCACAACCAATTTTTTCTACCCTTCCTCTCCGGACGGCAGAAATTTTCTCCGTGGGGGGAATGTGGATCTTTTCTGGAATGACCCAAATAATAAGTAGTATTCATAACTCAAATATGGAATGGCAGAGTTTTTTTCAAGGAGATGCTGGACACCACTAGGCAGTGCACACAACACCCCTGCACTACACCGGTACACCCCCCTGTTTCCTGTCATTATCAGCTTGCATGCTTCGTTTTGAAGCAAATGGCATCTGTGATCTGGCAAGGGGAACTAGCCAAGGGTGCGGGGTCAGAGTTAAACTCATGCAAACAGCTTCTAAGTCCTAATTGTATTGATAATTATGTACACTTTAGTTGGTAATGCACAGCAATTTCTAAAATATTTCACATTTTATTTAATAAAAAGTAACTTTACATTGTTTTGTTGTTTATATTAACACCTTGTACTTGGACAGTGTACCCATTCTAAGCTAAAGACGTTTTATAAGAAACAATTATCAAGGATTTTGCATGATAAAATTATATTTAAAAATAGCTGCTCTCCATCTACATGTAACACATGATTCAATTCTTGCATTTACCAAGTAAACCCAGGGATTTTCAATTCCCCCCCTCCTCCAATAGAATTCACTTGAAGTGACTGGGGCAAGGTAACTATAAGTATAAGTAGGGATATAAAAGTCAATTAATTTAAATTTTACAAATAGAGTTTTTTTGAATAGACCATTGCAAAAGTTTATTAATTTGTTTAACCCATTATAGTGGCAATGTGCCCTACTTTAGTAATAACTCATCTAATGCCAGAAGATTTTACTCATCAAGGGGAGAACACTGCCACTCAATGGATTAATATATTCACAGACCAGTTACCATCAAATAGAGGCAAAATATCCCAATTTAGGGACTATTTATTATTTATTTATTTATTTATTTATTTATTTATCAGCTTATATATAGTAGAACCATTTACAAGTTTAAGTCCAAAGGGGATAGCGCAAACGGGACAACGAGACCCATGCTAGGCTCACCCCCTCCAAAAAAGAGGGGAAAAACCCAACCTAATTTACTATAGACAAATATATATTACATAACATGCATATTAAGAACGGTTGCAGGGGCAGTCTCTTGTGCGCGACCAAGTGCATGCCATATCAACATTAAAAGTACTGTTGACCAGTGAGGTGTATGTCACATGCAAAAAGCTTTTAAAAATTGTTAAACTGGCGAACATTTCAGGAGAAGCTATTTTTCCAACATTATTCCAAGTTTTAACTATTCGGTTATAGAACAATCTTTGGAAACTCGATGTTCTACAGTAAGGAAATTTTAACATTAGAGATGGATGTTCGGTTTTCACGTATAAATGACACTAAATGTTCAATGTTCAACTCAGTGTGGCCGAAAATAGATTTATAGACCAGAACAAGATCTCTGATTTCTCGATCGTAAGCTGGTGGCAATAAATTGATCGAGTGTAATAAATTATAGTGCATAATTTATACACTAGGGTAGAGTGGGAAAAAAGGGAGGGGTCGTTGATTTGTTAAGTTTTGTTGGGGGAAGGGGAAGTTGGGTCGAGTGTTGTAAAAAACAGAATTATAACTGGTTTCAGAAAATATTTGACTACATATTAGTTGCCAAATGACATGAAATTGCATTGATACTATTAAAACACTAGTGGCCAAGCATATTTTTCAAGCCTGCCCGGTGTGGATATACACTCAGAGTAACATCACAAGCATCTAATAGTGTATGTTGCAAAATGTATTTTCTTCATAGTCAGGCATTCACATGAATGAAGATTAGAATTGCATCATGTTATATAGTCTCAAATATTTAGGGGGGGTCTCCATTATTAAGAGATCAGAAAAGGTGGTCCCATGACATTTTAACATAAGAATCTCCCACCCCACCCTAAGGTATAATGAATGGTCCCTTAAGGTGCATGCCATCTTGTTAACTAGCTCTAACTGGCAGGCCACCTTGCTCCTTTTGTGATGTGATGGAAATTCTATTCCCTTACTTTATCCCTGGGAACAAAAATTCAAATCAACTCTCCACCCTGATAATGTGCAGATGGTAACAGCAAGAATTGAAGCATGCAAGCTTTACTGGGGTACATACTGTTAGAAGCACAATTTGCACATGATAATTTGCCAGTCATGGGTTTAAACGTAATATTTCTTACCTCATATAGAATTCTTAAGGTCTTGTTTACATTTTATTGGAAGCAAAGTAAGATGCATCATGTCCAATAAAAAATCAGTTTTTGGCCATATCACTCATATGTCAGCTTTGGAACTTCAACAATATTTAGCTGTGAAGAAAACGTAAACAAGGAAAGAGCATACAAAACTTCCACTTCGTCTGTATTTAAAATATCAATGAATAAATACTCCAACCATTTGGCAGTTATCAGTGATGTTGTCAACATAGTCCAATTACATCATATACATCCAAAAATATTTCTTTGAATCACTGTATATTCTTCATAAACTCGCTCCAATCGTCGCACAGCAGAGTCTTCGGATTAAGGGTAAACACCAGGTTTAATTAACATACCCAGTTTAAAACACTTTCCGCGTCCTCTGAAGCAAGCCTGTCCAGCTGGAGAACATCTGTCGTAATACTAAATCTATTTTTCGCATATTTCAGCTGTTAATTTTGTTTAGCGAACGAACAAGTTGGAAGAACGACAACTACATAGTTCCCATTTAATAAAAGTTGAAAAATTTGATTTCGAATACGTTTGTAGCAAAAAGAAGGAAAAGTTTCAAAGGAATAAACGCATTTTTAAGCCTTTCTGAACCCTTAAATTTTGTGGACACTCTTACGTTGGCGGCCATGTT